CTTGTGTGCGTGGACCCGTAATGAAAAAGCGCGACGTGTGTTCTTCAAGGACCAAAAAGAGGACTTCCAAAGGGGGTCAGAGCCGAGTAGAGGTGGCCGATGGTGGTGGGGTTTTCAAAGTAAAAATATGAGCCACTGGGCGTGTTTGCCCGCTGCTTTACTTTCTTTTCATTTCTTTTCCGTTTTTTATTTTTTTTGCGCCACAATTTCATTTTCAATTTCAATTGCTAAGCTACATACAACAAGGACCTGTTCCAACTAGGTATTCCTCCTGGGCTGATAGTGCTGCTACCAGTGGGAGGTGCTGGTCGTCGCATGTATAATATTTGTATTGCATCTCACCAAACGATGACCAAGTGAATCAACCAACCGTCCAGTTAGCCAACCGTCCAGTTAGCCAACCCACTTCCATTTGACCAATTGCATTGCAATTTGTTGGCTTTGTTTAATATGAAGGAAAGTCGCTTACATTTATTTACTCAGCCATTTCAATCCAATTTGCGGTTAGCTTTGCTATTGTTTCGATTGAAGATAAATTTTCAAAACTTGGCACAAAATTAATCAAAATATTAAACCCTTAAATATAGGCTACGATTATCATTCTCATCTAAATTTCCTCCATTTCTTTCTATAATTTTTAATTGTTAACCTTTTTAAAATAAATTTTAATAGACACTATATCCCTTTATAATAAAAAGTTGCAACTGCATATATTGCCACATTCCGCAACTAATGTTGGCCATATTCAGCGCCTTTTAACAAATTTTCTTGTTATGCTTATTTTCTGTGCAATTTTCCCATTTTGTTGTTGTTGTTGTTGTTGTTGCAGGACCCTCACAACGACATTTTCTTTTATCTTTTGGCTTTTCTTGGTTTTTCCATAAGAATTTTTTAATTTAACGCTCAATAAGCTTTTGCCGCGTTACGTTTTGAATTTTCATTCTCGTTTTTTTTTTTCTTTTTTTTTGTTGTTTTTGGCGCGAATTTTTTCTAGAAAATTTGCATTTTCTTGTAAAAACATATAGTACAAAGTCGAGAGCGAAAAAGAATAATATGTGGAGACTTAATCCTCCCCCCCTCCCAGGAAATAAATAAATCGGTTTAGAAATAGTTGGCTTAAAAAAAAACTCTGCCTCATAAAAACCTGTCTACATCATTTGGTGGGCGTGGGTGGGGTGGGGGGCGTGAACTCTGGGGAAAGAGGGGCCGAATTCCCAAATTCGAGACTTGTACGTGGAAGCAGCTATATGTGTGTGTTTGGGTGTGGAGTTCGACCAAGATTGATGGGAATTTAAATTGAGCATTTCGTTATAAATATGCGCGCGTTTTACTGTGTTTTGCGGCTGATCCTCCCGAAACTAACGCGTGTCTGCCTTTTCACCTCCTGCCCCTCCAACAGAGGGGGGGTTGGGCCAGGTCGATGGGTGGTGGGTGGTGGGCGTTTCATACAACGTGTGTGCATGCGCCGCACTTAACAGTCAGCAAGTCAGCCAAGTGCTGCCGTCATTTCAACCCCAGACCCTGCCCCCCCTGCCTTTGCCTTTGCCTCTCCCTTGAATACTCACTCCTGTCCACAGTAAAGCCTCGACAGTCAGTAACATAAATCTAAATCTTCATTAACAAAAATATACAGTTTGAAATATTTATGCAAGTAGCTCCTTTTGTAAGGACTCTTCAGCAACCATAACAGTAATCTCTTTTAAAAACATCTATTGAATACCTATTCTAAAAGATAGTTTATAGGATAGGAAACCAAAGCTATATTAAATAAGGCCCTTTATACTTTATGTAGCTGAGACTGTACCCATATTGACTGTACCCAGTGACAGAATTTGTACAATGCCCTGAGCATGACGCACATAATTCCTAAGCCACAGACGCACCACGTCCAGGCCAGTTCCCAGTTGCCAGTTTCCAGAACCCAGAACCCAGAACTTAGAACCGAGATGCAATATCATCCCTGGTTGGAAACATGGGGAATGGATGCTGGTGTGTCTGCTGATGCTGGAAGCTGTCATCCATGTGGGAATCGGGGATGTAGGATATGTTGGATATGGAGGCCTGGAGGCCTGGATTCTGGGGTTTTAGTGTCTGGGGTCTGATGTTTGGGGTCTGGCGGATCAAGGGAAGGGGCCCTGAAATAATGGGCGACGAGACATTGCCGCTGACATTTGTTCTATTGCTGACATTGCATTCAATGTTGCAAACACCACACAGACCCATACCCATACCCATACCCACTACAAATACATATATGTAAAGGATATATGTATGTACATATATGCGAATATATGGTATACATATTGCCTATTCCACGGAGCGGAAAGGTGGGTGGGAATCGGTTCTTCCCTGACAGTTTCAAACACCACAACGTGCCAGGAACAGTAGCTGCAACATTAACAGTAACAACACCACCTCGACCAAATAATCTGCAACAAATGTAATTAAACAGACAAGGACTTGGAGTATAATATCGTTAATGATTAGAGGGCTACTCGGTTATAGCCTAAAAGTTTGAAAAAGAATCTCTCTGATCAAGACTACCATTTCCAAACAGCTACTGAGTGCTATATCTACACCGATTCCCCCGAGTCCCCTTTCGAAAATGAGAAAAGGCACTTTGTCGCCTTCCGAAGGCTATATCTTCGCCAAAAGGATTCCGATCCTCAAACGGAATACCTTTACCGATTCGTATATCAATTGCCCATAATCCTGCATTAAAACCTTGAAACTTATTTTTGGATCCATTTTTTTCGAATTTTTTTGGGGATCTCCCTTCAAAATTCGCGAAAATCCGAATAAATGCAAATATGACCTCTTGGGAATGCTATATCTCGGCCAATATTTATCCGATTCTTGAGCGGGGTACCTTAATAGACTCGTAGGACGATTTTCCGTAAATCTGCATCAAAACATGGCAAAATAATTTTGGATCCATTTTTTTCGAATTTTTCTGAGGGTCTCCCTTCAAAATTCGCGAAAATCCGTAATATCCAAATATGACCTCTTGGGAATGCTATATCTCGGCCAATATTTATCTGATTCTTGAGCGGGGTACATTAATAGACTCGTAGGACGATTCTCCGTAAATCTGCATCAAAACATGGCAACAAAATTGTGGATACATATTTTTCGAATTTTTCTGGGGGTCTTCCTTCCAAATTCGCGAAAATCCGTAATATCCAAATATGACCTCTTGGGAATGCTATATCTCGGCCAATATTTATCCGATTCTTGAGCGGGGTACCTTAATAGACTCGTAGGACGATTCTCCGTAAATCTGCATCAAAACATGGCAACAAAATGTTGGATCCTTTTTTTTGCGAATTTTTCTGGGGGTCTCCCTTCAAAATTCGCGAAAATCCGAATAATGCCAATATGACCTCTTGGGAATGCTATATCTCGAACAATATATATAGACTCGTAAGAATATAGACTCGTAGGACGATTTCTAATTTTTCTGGGGGTCTTTGACTTTGTTACCTTCCGAAATCGGAAAATGGGAAAATCGCACTTTGTCACCTTCCGAAGGCTATATCTTCGCCAAAAAGATTCCGATCCAAAAAATGAATACCTTTACCGATTCGTATATCAATTGCCCGAAATTCTGCATTAAAACCTTGAAACTTAATTTTGAAATTTTGTCTAATTTTTTAGAAAGAGGGGAAAGGGATTTTTGCTCCTTTAAGAGCTATTTTTTGGAAAATAGAAGCGGATTCTTAAGAGGAATACCTTAGAAGTACGTATTTAATGCATCCGAATATCGATTGCTGTTCAAGCATTGAACACTATTTTATATAGAAATTCTTAAGTTAGAGTTTCAAGGGATCCATGGAAATATGAGATAAACAGCATAATCTAAAACCGATCCCCTGCAGCCTAACATAAATAACACAAAAATATGTGGTGCTCTTATTGCACTTGAGAAAGGGTCTTATAAGAGGGTTACTTATAAGAGAATTGTACCAAATAAAATCAGTTTCTAAACGGAATTCATTGGAGTTAGGGGCTCCTCTGAACAGTTTCCAAAAGTAACTCATTGGAGTAAGGGGCTCCTCTTAACAATTGCCTAATGCACTTTTTCGATAAATTTATTTAAATATCTCGAATCGTTTTTTGTTTTAGTGTTTAGAAGTGTTTTCTTTAGACTTTAATGTGAGAGTCCTGGCCCATTCTTTGAGCCAATGATGTTATCTTTTTCTAGTGTGGCGGGAGGGAAAAGAGCTCAGCTAATTTTCTAATTTCGCAATGTAATGCGGTCGGTTTCCAAAAGGGACTTTTCCAAAGGGACACGGAGAAGCCAAGGATGCCAGAAATGCCAAGGATATGCTTGTTGCTAATATTGTTTTTCCGCGTTTTCCACTCCCAGTCAGTCTATCCCCGTCCCTTTCTCGTTCGTCTTCCCTCTCTGTCCGTCGTACCCCTTTCTCGGTGCTCTGACTGGAAATTCTTGTAGAGCGCATTAAAAATAATTATGCTTATGCTGGTGGAAAATTTGCTGACTTACATACATATGAACGCATGGCCAGATGGGAACTATACATATGTATATGCATATATATATAAAAATATATAAATATATATAAAGGCCGCAGATATGGGAGAGGTGATGGAGATGGAGATGGTGGGAGAAAGGCAACATCCAACAACATTCTTAAGCTTAACCGAAACGCAAAGTTATGAAACATTTTATGAATATTCATCTAAATCCGTCTCCCGGTTCCGGTCTTGGTCCTTCTTTCCCGCCCCTTACTACGCCCACTACACCCACTACACCCACAAGCCCTCCTCCTCTTGAATTCCCATCCACTCGAACGGTCAGAGGTCAGCTGCTTGGGGCTCATGTGGTCACATTTTAATTGAAATAGCTTTGATAATGCAAGTGAAAAACCAAGCAAGGAAATGCGAAATTAACATGCCCTAATACATAATGGTTAAGGGGCATAGTTTTTTTCTCAGCCAACAGGGCAAAGGTCAGATAGGACATTGAAAGGCATCTCTTATTACTAAAATTACATATTTATTGAAACAAATTTCAAATTCAAATCGAGTTACACTCGTCGTACATTGGAATTTGATCAGTGAGGATGGAAAGGAGGATCAAGGTAGGGAGCTGGGTGTTCTACCATAGGGTTCTACATAAAATACGAGTCTAAAGGCTCCGCGTCTTCTAATCGCTTCATTTAATAGCAACTTCGAAATGTGCAAATATATCAGTAAACATATTAATACCGGACATCGGAGACACTACAGACTATTAATAGTTGAGTTTAAGGGCAAAGTCGACGTCCATCTTGACGCCCGGTTTGCGGACAACCACGTGTCCCTCATGCGGCAGCACCTCCAGCTGCTGAGTGACTCCGTTCACCGTAATGCCAGCTCCACTGGGCACGCGCTCCAGGCCGGCGATCACGATCCTCTCGATCCAGGCGTCGCTCTTGTACTTTGGCTTGCCAATGAATCGGTTAACCAGCTGCCCGTTAGCGAACTCATAGTTCACGTGGATGAACTGACCCTGGCGGTAGGCGTAGGACTTCTCATCGTCCAGATACAGAGAGCCAGAGGCCTTGCCCTGCCTGTCTAGGCAAATAATCAGGGTGTAGGGATCGTTGATCATCAAGGTGGAGGCACGACGCTGACGCTCCTTCTTGGGCAGAATGCTGCCGCCTCGTTGCCACACGGGAATCTAAAAAGGAAACACGAGGATTAACTAAAAGTAGAACAGGAGGAATGCCTTGAATCCTACCTTATACTCATCCACGGAGACGGAGACGTAGCCAGATTTCTCCTGGCGCTGATAGGTGTCGACATCGTACCACAAGTCACCATTCTTCTTGTCATCCACAGCGGGGAAGTAGACGTCCACCTTGCTGACGCCCTGCTGCATCACGGGGCGGACCAGCAGACGATCCTGGACCAGCAGCTGGTTGTCGATGGCAAAGCCTTCCTTGTCCAGAGGGTAGTGGGCCAGGAGAGGACGGATTACAGGCTCGCCGGTCTGTTCCAGTTCGTAGAAGGCCGTGTACCACAGCGGCAGATAGGAATACCTCTTGAGCACGGCATTCTGGATAACTAGGCGAGTGCGTTCCGGGAACAGCCACGGCTCCCTGCGCTTCGTGTCAATGTGGGCATGAGCGCGGAAGAATGGCAGAAAGATGCCGGTCTGATACCAACGCTCCAGCAGTTCCGCATCCGGATTGCCAAAGAAGCCGCCCACATCAGCGCCGCAGAACGAAAAGCCGGCCGTTGCCTCCGTGAGGCACATCTTGATCGAGTGCTGCAAGTGCGACCAGTCAGCGAGGTTGTCTCCCGTCCAAATGGCAGCATAACGCTGCGATCCGGCAAAGTGGGCTCGGGTCAGAATGAAGGGGCGCTGGTTGGGATCACGCTGCTGCAGACCAGCGAAGGAGCCCATCAAGTGCATGTGACCGTAGAGATTGTGGACGTCACGATGCTCCCAGTTTCCGTAGTGAATCAGATCCTTGGGCGCCGTGATCTCGGGACCATTGAAAACCGATGGCTCATTCATATCGTTCCACAGCATCACATCCGACGTGACCGTCTGGAACTTGTCCAGGGCGTACTGACTGGCATAGTAGTCCCTCACTACCGGGTTAAAGAAATCCGGATAACTGGCTGCTCCAGGCCAGCACCAGCCCTCGTAGTCGTTGCCATCTCGGGTCTTAACATAATATCCGCGTTCGGTGCAGTCGTTGTGGAAGAAATAGCCATTGTCCCGCTTGATGTGGGGGTCGATGATCACCACCAAGTGGCGTCCCAGCTCCGTCAAGTTCTTGATCATGGTTAGCGGCTGGGGGAACTTGAATTTGTCCCACGTGAAGTAGCGCTTGCCGTCGGTATACTCAATGTCCAGCCACATGGTGTCCATGGGGATGTTGAACTCGTCGAACTTGGCCGAAACTGAGGTCACGTCGCGCTCATCGTTGTAGTTCCAGCGGCTCTGGTGATAGGCCAAAGAGAACAGCTGTGGCAGCTCGTGGGTGCCGGTCAGGGCAGCGTACTGCTTGAAGGCGTCCAAAGGTTTGGGTCCCAGCAAAATAAAGGCATCCACGATGCCCGACTCGGACATAAAGTGGGCAGCCGGCGGAGGAGATTTACGCGAGCCGGAGACAAAGTTGACCAGCGAGGAGACCACATTGGTTTCAGCCGTTTGGATGTCCACCCAGGTTTCGGCAGCATTTTGCCAGTAAACTCCAGCAGTGCGCTGAGGTCTGCAACAGATTAGGGGAGAAGATAATGAACCAGTTTCTGGACAAAGTTCTACACCTTAAAAATATCTCTGATTCAAATCAATGACTAATAGCTCCCAATTAATATTTCCAAAACAGTAACCCCAATAAAGTCCACTCACCCATGGCCGTAGATAACCGGAACCGAACCATACAGTGCCATCTTGCTGTCCACAATGTACTCGAAAACATCCAGGTTATACAGACGATAAGGATCAGTACCAGAAGTGGACTTCAACACGAAGCTATCGGCATGCTCGGGAATACCAAATAGGATCTCAGCGGCGGGGAACGAGAAATCAAGAGCTACAGCTTCAGGACCGTAGGGTTTGGCATCGTGATGCGATTTGAAGTTCTCCTCCCATGCACCAGGGTCATCGATGGCATCGGCCGCCTTGGGGGTCTCAACAGCAGCGTCCTGCTCCTGCTGATTCTCATGCTCCGCCTGCGCGGCTGGCGGCTCTTGGGACTTCTGGCGCAAGTGTTCGAAATACAGCCAGTTTTTGGCATTGACCGATACGACCAAAACATCATTCTCATAGAAATCGACGCGGAAGGGGTCACCATGGATGACGGCCTTGTTGCCCTCCGATGTGATTACGATCTCGCCGTCAGTCTCCCGCTGGACACGAATGCGTCCTGTCTGGGGTTGTCCCTTCAGAGCGTGCTCCACGCGATATCTGGGCTTAAGTGGCTGCTTCTCGTCGATCTGGAGTCGGAACGAGCTGCCTACAAGAGCCTCCAGCTTGAAGGCGAACTGGTGGTGGTTCTCCTTGTTAACTAAATCAGCAGTCAGCGAATCGGCGTATGTGTTCAAAGTGCCTGGAATAAGGGCGTACTTGCTACCAGAACTCTGGACCTTTCGAGAGCGACTAATAAATAATTTTAACTGGTTAGTTGTGAAAATAAATGGCTTTAAATTTAAAAAAAACTTACCGACAGAAGCTACTCTGGTCACAGGTCTTGAAATTTGAAGGATCAACAGCATCGCTGAGGATTAAAAACAAGGCGCAAAGGGTGGCCAAAACGCCAAGGACACAACGCATTTTGACTGGTCCTTGTTTGTGACCTAAAAGAGATTCAATATTTTATAAGATTAATTAATATATAATAACTAATTGCTGTCAATACTGCAGGCTACCTCAAACCCAAAGTCAGACCCAATGTACACGTCAGAGATGTAGTTATTTACTTAAAACGGTTATTTATTTAAAAAATCCTCTACTTTATTGCCAAAGACCCAACAATTGGGCTTCCAATTGACCTTTTAATTGGAAATGACATTTAAATACCGAGAAATTTCCTTATATCGAACAACACTTGTACCAAGTTGAAAAGTTTGTAATATGGTCGTAAAAAAATTGTCGCCGGTTATTAATGCGAATTATAGCTGCACCTTTGCAACATCCAGCGCAATTACCCGCCCAAGATTTTTTGGATTTTAAACAATCCTGCCAAGTCCTACCTTTTTGTGGAAAATCGGTTCTTACGGGAAATCTGCGTTAATAACTTTTTAATAAAAAACTGCAAGAAAACGGCACTGGCTACATTTAGTGATGGTCAGATAACCGCTATCGAAAACAGTGTTGGAAAATGGGACATCAATAGAACTAAACGATAGGAACAATCGATAGGAAGGACATATTCCACAATCCACAAAATATCGATATATTGATACATGTCGGCCCTAGTATTTTTTTTTTTTTTGTAATAGCAGGGTAACGTTTATTTAAAACTGCCCTTTAGGGACTTATAGATAATCACTTATAGATAATTTTAAATATTAATATGGTAGAAATAAATTAGAGTAGTAAGGGGAGGTCCAGCGGGTGTGTCCTTTTTAGTCTTCTGGGCGGTTCGGGTGATTATGAAGCCTCTGCATGTAACGGGCGCTGCTTCTTTGTATCTCGTCCTTGACCCAAGGGAAATTGAGAACCTCGTGGAGGGTGCGATTGTCATGATAGACGTGGGCCCCAGTGGCGATTCGAAGGGCTCTATTTTCGAAAGCTTGTATAGTTCGGACATTCGTCTTGCTCGCAGTGCCCCAGAGCTGTATGCCGTAAGTCCAGATTGGGCGTATTATTGCCTTGTAAATGAGGAGTTTAGTGGAAGTTCTCAGCTTCGATCTCCTACCCATAAGCCAGTAGAAGGATCGAAGTCTTTGATCAGCAAACAAAAGTACAAGTATGACCAAACAGAAAGTACTACAAGATATATACGATATTTTGGTAAAAAATAGGGAGAAATCTTAATATATCGATATAAATACATCTACTCGAATCTCTATTCCTCACCATTAATCATTTACTGAAAAAACTCAGAGCGCTTCAGAACAAAATCAGAAAGGAACAAAAAAAGTCAGAGCTTTTCAGAAGAAAGTTAGAAAGGAACAAAGAAAAAAAAAATGAAGCGTACCCGTCGCCCAAATAACGCTGGAAACAAGCAATTCGTTTCCGGTGGCGTTTATGTAAGTCCAAATTCCATTTTTTTAAATGAATAATTTCAGACAAAAGAATAAACCACAAATTGATTGTTTTTTGCACATTTGGGAAAATGTATACGCGCGTGAATGAGTGTGTGTGTGTGTTCTAGACACCCAAGGTGCAAAGAAAAGCATTTTGTTTTACTAATTTGTTTATATTTGATTCGTGTAATAACGAAGATTGTTTCCGTTTCTATAATTTGCAGCGCACAAAAATGATAATGTGTGTATTCAGCCCAATTGTGAATTCATTTGCAGTAGCCACTATAAGCGGGTTAATCGAAAGTGCAGACCGTTGTCCGACACCCGGCAGGCAGCATACCCCACCCCCACCCTTATCACTTTCAACCCATCGTCAACCCCATTTCGCCATCAATGCATACACAGAAACTATCTCATTTAATCCTATGAACGCCTTATCGAACAACCCAAAAATGGCCAGCACACGAATTATTATTCGTTTATAGCTGGACTTGCGATTTTCCCCAACTTTAATGGCTACTGAAAATGCATTCACTTGAAATTGTAACTAAAATTATTAGTTTTGCGTCAGATAGCAATGCCCATTCTCTTCACCGAAAGTGTCTCCGAACCGAGAAGCCGGCTATAGACACAGGCCAAGGACCCAAAGATCCCACCGGTGCTCCGCGTCGCTGGCGAGGAGTGACTGGTCTGTCGGATCTCGCGGTTCTCGGCCGGGGGCGACTGATCCACCGTTGCTGGGCACGTGGTTCGGACTCCGCTGGCTCTTAGCTACGGTTCGGTGCACTCGGGTCGCAGGAATGGCCATGGCTAGTTCCTGAACTATGGTTTTTAGTAGATTAACCAGCCAACCAGACAGCCTGACAGCCCCTGACGCTTCCGTTTATGATGAAACTCGATGGGTTCCGTTGGCAAAGCCACAACATTTTTTTTTTAAATATATATCCGTAATATGGATTCCATACCATATATTAAACACGCACAGCCCCCTTCTGGGGTTCCCACCCATTCCACTAACTAAATAATTTTGCAAAAACAGAATCCGAATGCCAACGCCCAGCCGTTGATCCAGCCTCCATTGCAGGCCGCTAATGTGGTCCAGAATCAGCCACAAGCCGCTCCCCAGCCGGCACCGGCACCGGTTGCAGCTCCTGCTCCCGTTCAGCAGCAGCCACAGAAGAAGCCCGATGGAGCCGCTATTGCGGCCAAGCTGCCCATGCCAATACTGGTAAAGATAGAGCCCCTCGATGTGGAGGCGGAGCCGGAGCCGATGCAGGATTCATCTCAAGAAACCGACACCGACCGGGATGTGACTATTGATTTGAGTGAGGAGAATGTATCTGGAGGCAAGATTCCATTCAAGAAGATCTTCCAGAAGCGCAAAAAGTCATCGGGTAGGTCTAGAAAACTATAGCAAGGTCGGAATCCCGATCAATATTTAATTTCTTTTAATTACAGAGCGCACTCGGGATAAGAAGCAGCGCCAGAACCGTCAGCTTCGCAAGTCGATGCTTCCCAAGAACGCTCTAATGGCCCTCAATGAAGTCAAGGGCGTGACTATCAGTGATTTCACCATTGACAGCAATGCCGATGGGGGATTCACTGCCATAGTGACAGTAAACTCTAACCAGTACGAGGGCAAGGGACTCTCCAAGATGTCCGCCAAGAACGCTGCTTGCGAGAAGGCTTGGCGTGATTTTATTATTGCCAAAATGACTCCGAAACCCCCTCGCTCTCAGCCGAACGAGTCAGACAACGGCGACGAGGCAATGGATACTAACGAGGACGAGGCGGAGTCGCCGGAGGATGATCTACCCATGCTTAATCTGGCCTCGTTTGCCATCTACAAACTGTTTGCTGAGTGGGAGCGCGAGGGTTTTGTAGTTCCTGAGATGCACCCCAACTCGGCCCAAAACCCGAATGCTTCTGGTGGCGGGGATGCTGCTCCAGCCGCGCCAGCTGCTCCCAAAGAGCCAAAGAAGCCGCCAATTCGCAGCGATTTGCCGCCCAACTGGCAGACTATGCATCCGGCAACTATTTTGTGCATTGTAAGTCCTAGTAAGTCCTTTAACACTCAAAAAGAAAGCTAAAAGTTTCAATTTCTAACAGATGCGTCCTGGTATTACCTATGTGGACTACGGAACCTCTGGCGAGAAGCCAAATGTTGTCCAGCACTTGGGCATAGTGGTTGATGATCAGGAGTTCACCGCTAGCGGCCGTTCGAAGAAGATTGCTCGCCGCAATGTGGCCGTTAATGTGTGCAATACATTGTTTGGAACCAACTTCACCTACGAGAACACCGCTTAAAGAACCCAAGGAACAAGGATTAACAACTCTGCTAGCAACTATACCCTTCTTAACGGCCTATGGTCATAGGCGCTATAATACGCACGCTTAGAAATAAACCGTCATAAACGGACCTAGAGATATTTAATGTTGTTGTGAAAGGTCGCCTTTATGGTCATATTTTTTAACTTTAGCATAGTCTCATGTTCATTTTACGCGGCGTAGATTATTTGAAACATTTATTTGTTAAATGCATGTGAAATAGCATTTTTTAAAATAGTTCAAATAATTTTTTTTTAAATTTTTTAAATCATACACATTTATATATACATATAATCTATTATTATTTTCCCAATTATAGCAGCCGTTTCGAAAGGGATAGAGATTATACTGAAGACTAATAAAATTATTTGAAATAGAAAAGCGTTTTTTTTATTGATTGGATTGCATTTTGAATGTGTTATACACGCATAAATATATATCGATAGTCGATATCGATAGTCTGTATAACACACCGATTGTCACATAACAGCTGGCTCTGACAGCTGACTTTACGGTTAGATTCTGATTAAAAATATAGAAGAATGTCGAAATTATTAACAAACACGGCACTAAACACCTTCCGGTCCACTCGCTTCGCCGCCCGTCAACTGTAAGAACTCCCAGGATCGATTAATTCCCTTAATCACCACGATTATACCTTCCTACAGGTCCCGGAATTTTGGAGGCATTGCATCCACAGCCCAGCCGGTAAACTTGAAACCCGGTTATGGATTGGAGTTCAAGCATGGACTCCTGCAGACCCAGCAGAGACAAATACAACTGAGCGGAGCACGTAACATGTTTATTCAGACGCAGGACACTCCCAACCCGGAGAGTCTGAAGTTCCTGCCCGGCGTGGAGGTTCTTGGAAAGGGCAATACCCACGACTTTCCCAGCGGCACTACCGCACATGGCAGTCCTCTTGGTAAGTTTCTGCATCCTGTGATAGAGCAAGCATGACAGAACCTTCTCTTGTCCAGCCAAGCTCCTTTTCCGGGTGGAAGGCGTGCGTGCTGTATTCTTTGGGGCCGATTTCATTACCATCTCGAAGGAGGAGGGCGCGGAGTGGAGTCTGATCAAGCCGGAAGTTTTCGCCGTTATTATGGACTTCTTTGCCAGCGGCTTGCCCATTCTGCACGAGTCCACACCCAATGCTGACACCGAGATCCTCGAGGATGACGACGAGACGGTGATGATGATCAAGGAGCTACTCGATACGCGCATCCGACCCACTGTCCAAGAGGACGGCGGCGACATCGTCTTCATGGGCTACGAAAACGGCATTGTCAAGCTAAAGATGCAGGGCTCTTGCTCCAGCTGTCCCAGCTCCATCGTCACGCTCAAGAATGGTGTCCAGAACATGCTGCAGTTCTACATCCCAGAGGTGGAGTCCGTGGAGCAGGTCTTCGACGAGGTGGACAAGATGGCGGACAGCGAGTTTGAGCGCTTCGAGCGAAACCTCAAGGCACTCAAGGCAAAGGATTCGGCGGCGCCAGCGGGAGGCGGTACCAACTAAAGCCTGGACCTTAGTTTAATGTTGCTAGTTTTTCTTGCGTTGCTAACTATTTAGTAGAATGGACCCTGTAGCCCCGTATACATAGTGTTTGTTAAAATAAATCTACGGCTTTAAGCATTAAACATTCCTGGGGATCCATAATTAGTTTCTCCCTGAGCAAGGTCAATAATTCGTGAATACATTTACGATTCGGGACTTTAACCCACTTTGACCCCAATCGGCGGGCGGGCAAGTGGGTCAATAAACCCGTGTCATTGCCATTGATTCCACAAAACATCGCAGAACACCAATGCCAACCGATTCCGCTGCCAGGATACCAAGTTTAATCAATAATTTCGAATTAAAACATTGCCTGGTATTCCATTGGCATTCCATCACTCTACCCGGAGCCAGGTAGCCGAACAGACGACGACGACCAAAGCGAGGAGGAGGAGGATACCTTGGACGCATCCAATAGCTGTGTGTCAGAACCAATGCTCTGCTGGGCCAACGAAGATCACTTTCTGAGCCAACGCTATCCGAATCCGCAGCAGAAGGCGCCCGAAACCCTCAAGAATCTACTCCTCCGTTCAAGTGTGCCGATAGTGAGTGCATCGTCGAAACCGAATCCGAATCCTCAGTCCATCGATACCACCACCATGGCACCGCTCAAGGGGCAGGAGGTCCTCAAGTTTCACAAGCACTCATATCTCGAGAACCGCATCTTCGATCATCGCCTGGTCAAGGACAATCTGCTGGACAAGTGGCCCACGGCAGACATGAACGAGTACAACGAGCGCAAGGACCATCGCAACCTAATGGAGTCCTATGTACCAGCCACATATCATTAATCTATAATCATTCTTTTCATATACACATTCCTTATTTATTATCCAAGATTAAGGTCCTGGAAAGAAATCTTTTCACCAGGATTCTAAACATATTTTTAAACTAAAAAAGCCTTGGACGAAATTCCAAGGAATTATTCTTATTTTTTATTATTATTATTTCAAACATATCCATATAATCAGAATCATCTTGGCACTCCAAAGAAACCCCATCAAGTAGGCCTTGCTCTGGTATTCTGGGTAACCTGTCACCTGCCCTGCCTTTCGGATCTCAGTTGAATCTGCTCCGTTGACGAGCTCGCATCTCTGCGTAAAAAATATTAAATTATTTAAATTCCAAATAATCCAAATTTCAAGTGGAAAAAATTTCCAGTTAACCAGTTAAACTTTTGCGTTTTCGCTCTCCGATATCCGATATCTTTCCGAGATGGCACAACATGGGGCAGGTGGTGGATCCGGGGGATCTGGAATACCACAAACCACAGTCATGTATTCGCAATTGCAGCCATGGAGCCAGGCGGGCGCTCCACCGTGCATGGAACCCGTCACCGGGCCATCGATTCCGCCCCGGGTGGGCGCCGCCTACGAGACGACAACGAAGCATCCTTGGCGTCCGGCCATGGCCTATGAACTGATCCAGGTTAAGCATCTGCCGGAGCAGCCAGTCACCAACCAGCTGACTAAGCAGTGCTTCCTGCCCAAGGGCATGAAGACCGACGGTATGATCTTTCCGAATCTGGTCACCGGATTTGATCGCAATCCCCAGCACGCCGCCCGAGCTGCTCTCTATACCAGATACACCAGCAACGAATGGTACAACAACAACATGACCAAGTATTCAGAATCCAACACGAACCGGTAAGTGATCCTCCAGATTCCTAGAGTCCTTTTGAAGGCTTCTTCCTAAAATATAAGACATTAAGAGCTATTTTGAAGCAAATATGTAACTTACGTTTCACTGGAAACCTTTTAGCAACCTTTCGGAACGCATGCGCAATGATGCAGTGCGTCTAATGCGTGAAACGGACGAGAAGGCCACCTCTGGTCAACGGGACGCAGGCAGACGGCTTGGTGAACGCATCACCGATCTGACATTTTGGCGAAACGAACTAAACGCCGAGCTGGAGAAGCTCATTGCTGAGATGTCGGACATCAATGAACTGCAGCGGCAGTGCGGCAAGGCCTTGCTCGACCTCGAGATCCCCCTGCACATTGCCCAGGAGTGCCTGTTCCATCGGGAGTCGCGTCAGGGCACTGAGAAGGTGCACGACATCGTCGAGAAGGCGCTGCTCGTGGAGATCAACAATCTGCGCAATTCTCGGGACAAGTTGGGCGGACTTCACGAAAAGATTGCCAAACAGGCCCTGGACTGTCGCGGTGCTCAGCATCTGCTCGAGGACGACGTGTCCCATAAGGAGTCGTCTCTGGGCATAGACTCGATGTGTCACCAGCTGAATAACCATAGTCGTGGCATCACCTACTATGGCGGTATCGAAAAGTTTGATCCGTCTGTGAGCACCCAGGAATCCTGGGCTCAGGCCAGCAGCGAACACGTTAGGCGGTGAGTAGCTCCCATTCGCTCGATATACTTAAGGTATTAGTTTAATCCTTTAATCCACAGCTCCCAGGCGGAGCGGGCAAAGCTGTCGCAGCTTCGGAGCGATTCCCAAAGCGTGGTCAACGCTGTGGCCACCACAGTGTGGGACTTCTGGAGCAATACAAACAACGCATTCGACCGACGCTCCCAGGAAATGGCAGAGGCCAAGAATCGGGTGCAGCTGCATCTGCAGAAGGTGCAACAGGAGCTGTTTGACATGGAGAAGCATCTGTTCCTGCTGCAGAAGGCCATCCAGGATAAGTCGGGACCTTTGAAAGTGGCCCAGACCCGTCTTGAGGCTCGCTCCCACAGAGAGGGCATCGAGTTGTGCAAGGACTATGCCCAGGAGCGCCTGGTACAGGAGGTTTTCGATATCCAAGGTGCCGTGGAGTCGCTCCATCACAAGCTCCAGGAGGCGGAGGCCTCTCACCAGGGTCTTCTGAAGACTCGCTGCAGTCTGGAGGTGGATCTGCGCAACAAGGTGAATGCCCTGTTCATCGACCGCGAGAAGTGCATGAGCTTAAGGCGCTCGTTCCCCGTCAGCAACCTCATTAAGTACTAATCCTTGAAAGATCCTTGAAGGGCATCTTTAAATTGTAGGTAACAGTCGCACAGTCGTCTCAGCTTTTATCCGCAGCACTGAATGTCAGAATAAAACAGATTGTCAATATTAAATACTGCCTTTTTTTTTAATTTTTTTAATGTATATATTTGTATAAAATCATGAGCATTTCATTATCAAAGCTAGAAAAGTCAAAATAGTTTCGAATTATCGGGACAGAAAAACCGTTATTGTGCTTCAATTCATATTAGAGATGAGACTTTTGAATACGCAATTCAAAAATTTCCACCAAAGGCAAAAAATGTTTAAGTAATATATCTGAAGCCCATTTAAAAATAGCTTTTCCTATAGAGGTTAAATATTTACCAAAATATTTAATAAAAACCTTAACGATAATTCCCTAAACATCGATAGGGACTTTCCCTGCCCATGTAGGTCATCTCGAGCTGCCGAGTATGTGGTCACACTAGGTACACGTAGAAAACAAACAGACAAGGGTTTTTATTTAAAACCAAGCGCAATGCAATAGTTTCCGTGTGATAAGCAGCAGCTAGCAGACCCATCAAACGGGTAAACACACCTCCCATCCGCCACCAGACCTAGGGCGCACGGAAATCCGCAGCCGGACATCGAAGGGAACGGACTGCATTCCGGGAATTCCAGAGCGAGGAAAGGAAAGGGAATAAAATGCTGGGTGGAAAACGAACTGGTACACGGCATGTGGCTGTGGTGTTGATGATGTGCCTTTTTTGGTACGTGATCTCCTCCAGCAACAATGTAATCGGAAAGATGGTCCTCAACGAGTTTCCCTTCCCAATGACCGTGACATTGGTCCAACTGTGCAGCATTACGCTCTACAGTGGGCCGTTCTTTAATTTGTGGCGCATACGAAAGTATCAGGAGATCCCCCGCTCCTACTATTGGCGTCTAATCGTACCTCTGGCCGTGGGCAAGCTGCTGGCCTCGGTCACATCGCACATCTCACTGTGGAAGGTACCAGTTTCCTACGCGCACACGGGTGAGTCGTGATGGGAGTTTCCCCGCCAAATGTTCCTACCTCAACACGTCAGCAGTGCGGCGTCGGTTCGATAGTGGGATACCCTTTATGATTTATTATTTAAGATATATTTTATGTGAAGTAATTAACATTTTGTATTGAATTCTATTGGATTCTTTTAGTCAAGGCCACCATGCCACTGTTCACCGTCATCCTGACCCGTCTCTTCTTTGGGGAGAAGCAACCAACGCTCGTGTACCTGAGCCTGCTGCCCATCATTACGGGCGTGGGCATTGCCACCGTAACGGAGATCTCCTTCGACATGATGGGCCTGATCAGCGCCCTAATCTCCACGATGGGCTTCTCCATGCAGAACATCTTCTCTAAGAAGGTAAGTGGCATGGCAGGTCACCTTGAAAAGCTATGAGTACATCTTTTTATTACTTCAGGTACTCAAGGACACCAACATCCACCATCTGCGGCTGCTGCACCTTCTCGGAAAGCTGTCGCTGTTTATTTTCCTGCCACTCTGGCTGTACATGGACAGCTTCGCTGTTTTCCGACACACCGCCATCGTAAGTTGGGATCTCAGCAGACCAATCTTATCTTGAGAACATTTTCTCTAATTTTGATAAAGAAAAACTTGATAGGAAATTAAGTAGAACTCTTTAGAACCTTAACCGATGAAGGCAGAGTATTGGCGGGTTTGTTCCAATGTTTTGCCAAATTCCACGTTAACGAAAAAGAGTCATCTGTTACGCATGTTAGAGACTTGTTGGCTTAGTCGCATGAAAAACACTTGTATTTGCATTGTAGGGTTAAGTTTTGGTGTAGTTTTGAGATACTTTTTACAGATACAGTACCGCGTTCCTGAAACGACTGCTATTAATCCTAATAAAAATGTTCTTTTCTTTTATTTTTTTAAGAAAAACCTAGATTACCGGGTAATTGCCTTGCTCTTCGCCGATGGAGTCCTCAACTGGCTGCAGAACATTATCGCCTTCAGTGTGCTCTCCCTGGTCACCCCGCTCACCTATGCGGTTGCCAGCGCCTCAAAACGTATCTTCGTTATCGCCGTGTCCCTGCTGATCCTGGGCAACCCAGTGACATGGGTTAACTGTTTGGGCATGACGCTGGCCATCGTTGGCGTACTCTGCTATAATCGTGCCAAGCAGATCACCAAGGGCAGAGAACCGCCGACGCTGCCGCTGTCGCAAACCAGCCATGTGAAGTACGCCCCGCTGGAGCAGCATCATAATCGTGATCCCTATTATAGGGGATCCGTGAACGGGAAGCTAACCAACGGCCTGCAGCAAAAGTCGGCGGGAAACAGCCTGCTGGCGAACGGAAGCGGGATGCCCAGCGGAACGGCCACGCGGCTGCTCTTTGTCTAGTTTGTAGTTAGCGAATCTGTATATCAATCCCATAAGCGGGTCAGCAGCAGTTGTATTCAAACCCTGACCACCACCGCCCAATCCCTGACAACTCCCCCATCAGCCACGACCCCCTGTCTCTCTTCGTCCCCCTAGCTGTGTAAATATATAGCTTATATTTTTAACTGAAGAGGCGCAATTCGGAATTTACAAAGACACAATGAAATAATGATATTGGAACTTTTTGAGTTGCTATGTATTATATTCTAAAAGGTAAATTAATTCCAATTGCATTGAAAAATAGTTATCTAAGATTGTATATTTTTCTTTGCAAAAAAAAAAGAAACAAGACGACACTAAATATATTGACATGAATGATTTTTCATATGAAATATTCGAAAGCTTCGAAAACCAAGTGTTTTGAGTTGTGCCTGTTGGGTTAAAAGTAAGTCTTTTGTAGTGTATTATAGTGTTTGTATTGTAGGAATCCTTCCCCGTTCCCCAAAATTCAAAGCAATGCTGTACAGTTTTCTACGCGAGGCGAGTGTGTAAATAATTAGTTTCATATCCCTGCAGCCCTATGACCCATCCTTATCGCTATTTTCGAATTTGTTTGTGAATTGAAAAGCCCAAAATTGTATTCAGAGACCCAAAATAAAATTGTTGACCATGTACATAGGCCTAGCAAATGCAAAACCAGCAATTAAACTTCTTTTCTCTAATTTTTTGATAATATGGAGGGTTTCGTATAGCTGGGAATATAGGTACATATGTTTATCCTTGTCATTTTCCCGGAAAGCAGTCGATCTCACAAAATTTTTTTGTAAAGATCCTAAAGATCTAAAAAGATCTGCTCCTAAAAGCACAAAAAACACAGTGTCGAGAGCCCAGTTAGACAAATTATATTTTTAATTAATTAATTATATTTTTTATTTAGAGAAAGTATGGATCTATTACTACATGTATTCATAACCGTTTTTGGTGACTTTAAACTTGGCACCTCTTCAGTTTTTATTTTATATATATTAAAATTAGTATCTTGTACCCCCGATTCTTTGGCCTTTTATATATTTGTTACTGAAGTAAAAACAACAATATTTAACAAGCGCAATTATTTAAATTTGTATTTTTTAAGTATGAAAAGTATTGATTTATGTTTTTGATTTTCTAAAAATAACTTTCAATACTTAGCCCTGATAAAATATAATCTAAGAAGAATAAAAATAAAGATTGTTTCTCCCAATTTAACTTTATTTTCTTAAATAATAATATAATTTAAAAAGTTATTGTTCCGTACCCCGTCGTTTCAACCTAACCGATATTTTTAAACGATAGTGAACGGAGAAAAAGTACTAGAAAACGTTGCAAGCCACGATATTTCCATGGGTGTCTCATCACTGGTCACATTACATCGAGCGGATATAGCGTTTTTCCGAACGCCAGACATAAATCGAAAAAAAAAACGAAATTATAACTTGATCATCCAAGCAGGTAAAAGGCCCAACGCCCGTTCTCACAGGAACGGAAAAAGGAAACCCCAAGAAAAAAAAAGGAAGCAAACGACTGGGAAAAAGCATTAATTCGCACGGCAAAAAGCGAGAGCAGCAGTGGCACAGACGGCGACATTGACAGCGACACCGATAGCGGCGCGGCAGCGGCGGCAGAAGCATCATCGAAGCGGTAGCGGCTTCTACAGGAGCTCTTTCCTTATTCCAACAGTCTGATATCCTTGCAACTACTCGCACCAGGGACCCACTCAGCCATAGGTAAGCGGCAATGACAAAATCTGCATATTGCAAAAAAAAAAACAGACAACAACAAATTGATATTTTCAAGTATTCTATTCTATTCCCCTCCAAAACGAAATAAACGAACTAAAATGTAAAAAGTAAAAGTCACCCAAAGTGAAAAGTGCTTCAAGTTCTTAAATCAACTAGTCGGTCGCGAAAAGTGCGCAAAAGTCCGCAAAAAAAAAGTTGTAAAATAAGACAAAAAAAAAAGAAGAAAAAAAGAAATGAAAGAACAATAACTCTCTCCCGTGTTTCTGTGTCTGTGTGTTCGTGTCCTACCTGTGTGTGTACCTTAGTTGCCAGAGGAAAAGCGAGAGCGGGAAGTGGTGCATGGTCTCGGATCTGCCCAGTTTTGACAAGTCCTCCCGTACTTGCAATTCCAATTCGTGTTTGTTCTTGTTGGTGGTCACTGCGACCTTAACTCTCCCTCACTTACTCTCTCCCTCGCTTTCTCTCTCTCCCGCGCGTAAAAATACAGAAAAGAATAAAAGTAACCGTAGCACACAGAACATAATAAATAAAGTAAAAAAAGTAAAAGCTTATTAAAAATAAAAATGAAGGTAAGAACCCCATAAAAAGTCAACCAGAAAATGAAAAAATTGATCGATCAAATCTTTTCTTTTCCCCCTACCCCCCACCACCACTCATTGCCATAATAAGAATAATGAATGTACTAATACCGATTGGTAGTGATATCGGAGCACTGGGAAGCCCATCGGCGTTTGTTGGGGCGCAGCCCGGGTCCTTGACCTTGCCCATGCAACTGTCTCTTATGTTTCCCCCGTCCTCTTTACCCTGGTATAACCAGCTGTAAAAAGCCCCAAACTAATTCATAAACTCAGTTCTGCAGTCTTGTCGATTGCCAGCTCCCCCCCAAGAACTTCCATCCGTCCCGAATCTGTATCCTTGCCCGCACCACCCCCAACAAATGTTCGACCTGCTCCACACCACACCAGCTCTGTTTATCTCGGTTACACCCATCCCATCGAGATTCTGGGTATTAATCGCCTACAGGATGTTTGTCCGGGGTGTTTGTCTTGCAGTTTTATAACGACTTCTGTTCAGTGCTGTAAACGCTAATCTTTCATACTGTTTGCTCCGTAATCTCCTGCAGACACGCGACCAAAGAGGAAGCCGGTGGAGGTCCTATGGTCTTAGACATGGAGTCGGACGATTCTCGTGGCAGCTCTCCGTCCAACTCCTCGGAGTCGCGCTCCAATTCGCCCGCCAACAACAAGGATGCCGCCTCACACGATGCGGCAGCGGATTCGCGCCCTCCCGTCGCCGTGGCCCGGTCGGTGCGCTCCGCCTCCACCAGCTCCAGTTCCTCGAACTCCAGCTCGAGTTCAAGCCGCAGCGCCATATCGGCGAAGAACATGAAGAAGAGCTCATCCAGCAGCAGCGGCAGCGGCAGTGGCAGCAGCTCATCCAGCGGCTCCTCCAGCGAGGACGAACCCGACCAAGAGCCGTCGCAGCCGCCGCAGCAAAAGCAGCAGCACCAGGAGCAGCCTGAGCCGGAGGCTGCCATCTCAGAGGATAATCCTGTTCCTTCGCCAAGCGCCAAATCGCAGCCTAGCTCATTTCTTTCTTCGGTGCGCAGCCGTAGCAATAGCCCAGGGGATCAGCAGCTGTACAACCAGGCTGCCGTGGATCTCAACATCAGCCACGAGGATCTCAGCGATGTCAGCGACATCGAGGCGGAGACGGAGAAGCGCGCTTCGTCGAAGAACCCAACGCCGCATCCAGTCGAAGAGGACGAGGACGGAGCCATATCCAATGACTCACTGCCAGGGCACGAGGAAAAGGAGGCCAAGCTGAACGGCAAGGCTGCGGCTAGTGGCGGGCAACATGAGAAGGTACCAACAGCTATCGCCAAGGAGTCCAAAGTGAGTGAAATGTTAACCAAACCAAAGCATGGTTCTGTTCTGACTTTCGTTTTGTTTCAGCCGGAAGATGGGCCGCCAAACGGACGAACTGGAGGCGGCTTGGAAGAGGACTTGGTGAAGACGCATGACGACGACGCTCTCGACTTCGAAGCAGAGGAGGGCGAGTGCGCGGAACCGATACCGAAAGAGGCCACAGATCAGTTGAAAGACGAGACGAAAGCCAATGAATCAAACCAGGCCAAGGGCACGCCGAAGTCGGCGAAGGACGACGATGACGACGACGAAGGCGAGGTCGATGCCGAAGAGGGCGAGGAGAAAAGCAAGGACGGCCAGAGCGTGTCTGCTGGAAATGGCAGCCTGGAGGAAGGCGAAGATACCAGCAAGGATAAGGAGAAAGACCTGGCCAAGAAGAAGAAGGACGAGGAAGAGCTGGAGGAGGGCGAGGTGTCGGACGAAGACGAGAAACGGCCCGAAGAGACTGAGCCCAAGCCAGTCTGCCGGTTCTACACCCGCGGCCAGTGCACATGGGGCATGAGCTGTCGTTTCCTGCACCCAGGCGTCACCGACAAGGGCAACTATACGATGTTCGAGAGTCTGGTGCGTTCCGTGCCGATGCAGGGTGGCGCAGCCAGTGGAACCTCGGCCGGAGGGTCGTCTACATCCGCAGCAGCTGCTGCTGCCGCCGTGCGTTCAGCGGCTAGCGCCTACAGTGCCGCCCATGCTGCAGCGGTGGCGGACTACCACGACTATAGGAACGAGCGACCGGCTCTACACCATCGCTCAGCCATGCACCACCCATCGAGTGCCTACGCCAGCCACGGGCACGACCCCCGTAGTGGTATGCTGCCGGAGCAAGGTCCTGTCGTTTTGGAGAATGCCTGGGAGCGCGGTCTGCGCACTGCCAAGGAGATGATGCGCAAGGCCAACAAACGCAAAGAACAAGACATGGACTTTGAGGACAAGAAGATGAACCTCACCCTGTCGCCGGATGAGCTCGAGAAGGATCCGTTCTACCTCAAGGAGCGTGGCGGGGCCAGCTCACCGCCGCCGCCGTCTCGAGGCGTGGAGCCGCCTATGAATCCCCACAGTATGGCCATGTCGATGCATCCTCACGCCAGCCTAGGTCATAGCAATCCCCGTGCCCTCCTTCCTATGCAATACTCCGTATATGGTCCGATGGCCGATCGGTATGGACGCAGCCAGTACATGCACCCGCCGTACGAAGATGTGGATGCCTATGGAAGGATGGCGCGTTATCGGGAACTGCCGCCGCATCGGATGCCGCACTACGAGGACGACCGCCGATTGCGGCCAGCGCGCGAGGTGATTGTTCAGCGCGTGGAGGCTGCCGGACGTGGCGACGAGTGGAGCGATCCTTGGATGCGTTCCAAGTCCATGGGCCGGGGCTCATACGAGCGGGATGACCGTCGACGCAGGGAGCGTCGCAGCTACAGCACCAACTCGTCGTACTCCACCTCGAACAGCTCCCAGAGCGATTCCTCCGACAGCACATCGCGATCCAGCAGTCCCTCGGAGCACAAGCGACGCTATGGTGGTAGTTCCCACAAGGCAGCAGGTGCCTCCGGCTCCACCTCGCGACGCCATTCGGGCCATAGGCGCTCGTCCAGTCAGACAGTTCGACGCCGTCACACATCAAGTGAGTCTTGGGGGAGGGGGATATTAGTACTAGTAGTGGTTGCTCATACCGTGTACTGTTCCAGAGGGTAGCCCCTCGCCGTCGTACAAGCGTGCTGCCATGGAGCACAAGCGCCACAGTGGCGGTCACAGTCCCGCGTCCAAACGGAAGAAGCTCTCATCGCCGTCACAGAAGAAGCTGGACAAGCTAAGACGCCGCCACAGCTCCAGTTCATCCGACTCAGGTTAGTGCCACCTAGGATAGCAAGCAAGACGCAGGATAGCAAGAAGAAGTCAAGAGGTAGTCATGCTTAATGTCAGGAGGGAATATTAGAATAAAGTGGATTCCAGAGATGTAGTTTTAAATTCCAAGATCGGGTAAAAATATATAACACTGTGTTAAAATCATGAACCATTTTAATAGATTCATCCGACACCTCGTACTCAGAATCAGAGTCCGGCTCATCCTCCTCGGACAGCTCGTCGGGATCCCAGACGCCCCAGAAGCGAATCCGCTCCACCGACAAGGCGCTGAACGAGCGTAAAATGATCAAGAAGCGTAAGTCCCCCAAACCAGGTACTGACTTTCGATTTAAAAACTTTATTCACATTCCTGAATCCTTGGCAGCACCTGAAGTACCCAGGAAGCGGTCGCCCATTTCCATTGAGATTAAGAAAACGTCGAACATGGTGGGTGTGTCGGCGCTGGCCTCGCCCAACTCAATCGACTCCGAGAAGGAGAAGGATCATCATGGCAAGGACAACCACAGCAAGGATAAGGAGCATAACAACATCAGCAGCGGCAGCAAAGACAAAGACAAGGACAAGGAGCGGGAGAAGGATAACAAAGAACACGACAAGGACAATAAAGATAAGGATGGGAAGGACGGGAAGAAGTCGCGCAGAGAGGAACTTCTTAAGCAGCTACGTGCGGTCGAGGATGCCATTGCCAAGAAGCGCTCCAAACTGTCCTAAGAATTCCAGACTTTCCATCCTTCACGAGAACAAGCGTATCCATCCTTCCTCCCATCCTGCTGCACTAAGCCCACACTGTCTAGCTCTGCACCACCCACCTCTTTTGGATTCGATTAAGTTAATCCGGATATCTCCGGATATCGTCACATCAATCAACTTAGTGGTTACATAACATTCACATCGTATTGCGATAAGGGGGGCGGCGGCATGCTGTGCGACAATTTCCGCATTTCCGCATTTCCGCCGTGGCCCCGAAGACTGCAGCAAACTGCAGAAAATGTAGACTTTAATGATCATATTTTGTCGAAACATTTTTTTTTCCACACCCCAACCCTACTCTTCCCGAACCACATCCGACTCCACCTTGACTTACCACCAACAATGGAGCATTAAAACAAACTGTTTATAATAGATCATAAATAAAAGCCAAGAAACACTATAAAAATTACTGTTTTGATACCCTTGCAGAGGGTATTATAATTATGGTCAGGTGATCCGACCTACGACTATAGCTGCCATATAACTGAACGATCGGAAATGGTATTTGGTGTTTAGTAAAAATACCAACTTTTGTATTTTTCAAGATAGAAGCTTGGGGCTTTTGTTTAAGATTTTTATTGTAATAAATTGGTTATATTCTGGTATTCTCATAAGGATTGACCAACTATATCCTACTTTTGCGATATATAACCGGTTTTAGCAAGGGTATATCTACTGAGGTTGGGTTAATATTTTTTATTTCGTGTTGGGACCTTAATTTTTTTGAAGTTTTTTATATTTCAGGTTAGGAATTGCTTTTCCAGTTTTGGGTTTTGTTTTATTTTATTTTAGGACTTGCCTCTTTTAAATTTTGAATTTAATTTTGGTAAATATTTTCCTCTCAAATAATATTTTCAAATTTCTATAAATATTTCTCTCCCAAGTAGGCCTTGAGGCCTTAAACCCAAATGTCAAATCGTAGCCCCAAACTGCTTTCCCATTTCTAGTCATTCTAAGTTTGATCTCAGAACTGTGAGGTCGACTATAAAATTGAGAGTCAGATATTTTTTGAATATTAAAAATATTGTGTCGGAATTTTCCCGTTTTTAAATTAGTATTTGTCAGTTATAATTTTATTTCAAAATGGTGACAGTAAAAGCCCAAGAGGAGACCCAACATCCCAAACAGACCCACAAGAACCGATCGGTATTTAATCCGGACAAGCGTACTGGTCACGTAGCTACGAAACCCGTCGCCAAACCATTCAAGAGATTCGTGAGGAACCCAACTGGGGGTCCAACCACATCATGCGGGGACAAGTGTGACGGATCTCAAGTTAATCCTCAAATTTAATTGTCAGCGAAATGCGCCTCCAATTGTAAGTTCCAGGGATCTATAGCCCTATAGCTTGCATAATGTGGTTCCCTATCTTCAGTGTGCCACGTCCGATTTGATGGCTGCAGGATTCCACAGAGGATCGAGCAGCTGACCAGACACTGGTGTTACCCCAACGAGATGCAAACCGTTCTACGCAATCCTTACAACAAGTGGCACAAATAGGCGCAGTCTCCTCGTACTCGTAGACACGTACTTATGAGTTCTACAAAACAAATTCGAGGGATGTTAAAGTTTATATTTCTGGAACTGCTGTATTCCAAAAATTGTTCTGAATTTCAATAAATTGTTTATGGCCGAGTCAGTAACTATTAATTACTAGTACTTATTTTTATTTGTTTTGGGTCTGGCCATCTTATAATTTCACAAGGATCGGCCGACGATATATCCCATAGCTGCCATCTAACTTACGGATCAGAAATGGTATTTGGTAAAAATACCAATTGGTATTTTTGAATAAAAAGCTTGGGTCTTTTTTAGATTTTCTTTTCAAAAAATTTAATTATGATATTCTCGTAAGGATAAGCCGGTTTTAACTGCAAGGGTATTAGCTCTCCTTTCTTGTTAATTAGTTCAGTTGGGATTGATTTTGAAGCCATCTAGCGGATGGCAGTGAAAGCAGAAACGTATTTTTAATTAAATTCAAAATATTTTTTGGCTAGGCCTTTTAAATTTAAATGTTTGGTTTTTAGGATTGTGAATTCTGTATTAATATTATTTTTTATGTTAATTATAGTTTTATACAATATTTAAAACTATAATTTTAAATATTGTGCGAACGGCAGCTCAGTGCCGTTCGCCCGAGTGGCAGAGGTCCAGCGGGTGGGTCCGTTTCAGCCTCCTTGTGGTGTAGCTGTTGTCCAGAAGATTGATGGCCTCAGGGTTAGGATGTCGGTCCAGCCTTTCCACGTACCTATTGGCGAATCGCTGAACTTCTTCGCTCACATATGGGACTCTCAGTTGGGCGTGGATTGTCGCATTGTCGTGGATCGGATGAGCTCCAGTTAAAGTTCTTAGGGCCTTGTTTTGGGCGATCTGGATGATCCTTCGGTTGCTTAGACACGCCGTCCCCCATAGCTGGATACCACAGGTCCAGACTGGCTTTACAATGGCCTGATATATAAGGAGCTTGACTCTTAGCTTCAGCCTGGACCTCCTTTTACTGAGCCAGTTGATCTGACGCAGCTTGATCCCGATTTGCGTCCGTTTGCGCTGCAGGTGGGTTCTCCAGGTGAGCCTTCTATCCAGGGTCATACCCAGATATTTGGGTGTAGGGCTTGCTGGAATTGGAGTGCCTCCGAGACTGACTCCAGGACAGTCGCCTCTCCTCATTTAAAAGTCGTTTGGGCTGATTTTTTCGTGTTTGACGGCCATGTTCCACCTTCGAAGCCACGGATCAAGGATGTCCAGCTGGCGTTGGAGAGACGCAGAGGCCTCCTCTGGAAAGATTTCAGAGGTAAAAAATGCCGTATCGTCTGCATACGTAGCCGCTAAAAGGCCCTTCTCTTCAGCGACAGCCATGTCGGCTGGGTATATGGTATACAGAATGGGGCCAAGTACACTGCCCTGCGGTACACCTGCCTTAATGGGCCTATAATCTGACCTTGCGTCTCCACATCTAACCCTAAATGACCTGTCATTCAGGTATGACTTGAGAAAGGCGTAATGCTCATGGGGTACGCTCCTTTTTATTTTCATTAGTAGTCCTTGATGCCAGACCCTGTCAAATGCCTGCTTGACGTCAAGGAAAACTGCGCAACAATATTTCTTCTCCTCCAGGCTGTTTAGAATCTTTTGTACAATCCTGTGGCATTGCTCCGGGGTGGCGTGACAACGCCTGAAACCAAATTGATGGTCTGGAATCAAGCCAGCCTCGTCTAATACGGTCTGAAATCTGCGCAGAAATACTCTCTCAAGTAACTTGGATAGTACTGATAATAGGCTTATCGGCCTGTATGAGGCAAGATCAGCTTCAAGCTTTTTCCTGGCTTCGGAATGAGTATGACCTCCGCCTTTTTCCAGTCAGAGGGGAAGTGGCCGATCTCCAAGCACGCGTTGAATATGCTCGTAAGCCTTTGGATACCTAATGGGGGGAGAAGTTTAACGGCAAGTGCTTCAAGGCCATCCGCACCCGGGGATTTTTTGGTGTTGAGGCCAGCGACCTCCTCTTGAACTTCCTCTTCTGAGACTGGCTCCAATTGACAGAAATCCGTGCAGGGTAGAGACAGAAACCTCTCAGTCTCAGCTTGGTCCACCTCCGAGCATCTATTGAATGGAGTGAAGGCGTCTTCCAAATGAGCAGCAAATGCGTCCGCCCTCTCCTCATCGTAGCGGCACCACTCACCGTCGGGTTTCCTAACCTGAGCCACCCTTTTCTTTGGACGCTTGATGTGACTAGTCAGTTGCCACAAGTTGTGCTCAGGGTCGCCGGGCTCAACCTGACGTAGGTATTCTTCAAAAGCACAAGTCCGCAACCTCTGGAGCAGCTTCGTGAGTCTTTTGGTCGCACGATTGAGAGCTGTCTTGTCGCTGGGATACCTAGCTCGGAACCAGATCCTTCTAAGCCGTCGCTTTTCATTGAGCGGTAGAGCTACTTCTGGAGACCACAAATGTAGGTGCCTTTGAAGGATTTTGTTATTGCATGGAGCCCTTGGTGTTGCGACTAAGGCAGCATTGTGCATCTCCTGAGTGAGGTTGACCACGGCATTGTCAATATCAAATCCTGTGTTGAGGTCCGGCTGAGTATTGCCTAGGGCGTTATTTAGCCACCCTGTGTAGGTTTCGATGTTGGTACGTGATTTTATCATCCGGGAACTGATGACCTTCTTTTCAACAGGTATTAACAGGTATTAATGTGGAGCTCCACCGCGCTGTGATCCGAAAGGAGAAGTAGGCCTTGAGGCCTTTAACCCAAATGTCAAATCGTAGCCCCAAACTGCTTTCCCATTTCTAGTCATTCGAAGTTTGATCTCGGAACTGTGAGGTCGACTATAAAATTGAGAGTCAGATATTTTTTGAATATTAAAAATATTGTGTCGGAATTTTCCCGTTTTTAAATTAGTATTTGTCAGTTATAATTTTATTTCAAAATGGTGACAGTAAAAGCCCAAGAGGAGACCCAACATCCCAAACAGACCCACAAGAACCGATCGGTATTTAATCCGGACAAGCGTACTGGTCACGTAGCGACGAAACCCGTCGCCAAACCATTCAAGAGATTCGTGAGGAACCCAACTGGGTCTCCAACCACGTCATGCGGGGACAAGTGTGACGGATCTCAAGTTAATCCTCAAATTTAATTGTCAGCGAAATGCGCCTCCAATTGTAAGTTCCAGGGATCTATAGCCCTATAGTTTGCATAATGTGGTTCCCTATCTTCAGTGTGCCACGTCCGATTTGATGGCTGCAGGATTCCACAGAGGATCGAGCAGCTGACCAGACACTGGTGTTACCCCAACGAGATGCAAACCGTTCTACGCAATCCTTACAACAAGTGGCACAAATAGGCGCAGTCTCCTCGTACTCGTAGACACGTACTTATGAGTTCTACAAAACAAATTCGAGGGATGTTAAAGTTTATATTTCTGGAACTGCTGTATTCCAAAAATTGTTCTGAATTTCAATAAATTGTTTATGGCCGAGTCAGTAACTATTAATTACTAGTACTTATTTTTATTTGTTTTGGGTCTGGCCATCTTATAATTTCACAAGGATCGGCCGACGATATATCCCATAGCTGCCATCTAACTTACGGATCAGAAATGGTATTTGGTAAAAATACCAATTGGTATTTTTGAATAAAAAAGCTTGGGTCTTTTTTTAGATTTTCTTTTTCAAAAAATTTAATTATGATATTCTCGTAAGGATAAGCCGGTTTTAACTGCAAGGGTATTAGCTCTCCTTTCTTGTTAATTAGTTCAGTTGGGATTGATTTTGAAGCCATCTAGCGGATGGCAGTGAAAGCAGAAACGTATTTTTAATTAAATTCAAAATATTTTTTGGCTAGGCCTTTTAAATTTAAATGTTTGGTTTTTAGGATTGTGAATTCTGTATTAATATTATTTTTTATGT